GAGTTCCCGTCTGTCCCGGGAGTTCCCGTCTGTCCCGGGAGTTCCCGTCTGTCCCGGGAGTTCCCGTCTGTCCTGGGAGTTCCCGTCTGTCCCGGGAGTTCCGTCTGTCCCGGGAGCTCCGTCTCTCCCACGGGAAGCGAGAGGGTCGCGACTCCGGTGCGAGATGGAGGAGCTGAGTGTTCCGGGCTCTCTACCTCGTTGCTTTCATTTCCTCTCTCTGCACGCTTGTTTTCCTCAGCGGTGCCCCTTCCGAAAAGAAAAACGCAGTTTTTCCGTTGTGACATCTCTCATGTTTTGCTCCTCAGTGCTCTGTTGTATTTTGAGATATTCGTTCAGCGTTACTGTGCTCTGAAAGCCGGTGCCGCGTGCCGGCTCCCGGTGTGGTGACGGCTTCACAGGTCCTGGGCGTTAATGCAGCTGCACTGGGTAAAGTTCCCCTGCTGGCTGCCGGGTGAGGGTTTAGCTGAGGAAGAATCCCCCCGACAGAGGTTGCAGTACCTACTGTTGGGGGGTTTTCAGTAAAGATGGGGTTTGTCTCATTTCTGTATCAAGGCAGCTTACTACTGGTAGTACATAGAGAACTGCTACGACTAGCAAAATGTACTTTGTCTAAAGCTTGTCACTCAAGAGATGTATATAAATGCTACCCATGTGCACTGTCTCTTGGAAACCCAGGAGACGGTCATGTCGTATTTCTCCTGATTTGCAACCTGGGCTACTCTTACTCTGTTACCTTGGCTGTGCAACCAGGAAGACATAACTAGTTTAGCAAGGAGATAGTAAATAGTAATGCAAACAGGAGTATGGCCGCTTCTGGAGTTTCCAGGGCCTGTGCACAGGCCTGCATTTGTGGCTTCACTCTGATTCTGGGCTGCATCAATCAGAACAATTACCCTTTCACTGCTCCCATTTTGTTTTTCTCATCTCTTTAAAGGCAGGGTCTAGGTGCAACAGAAGGACTTCCTGGAGGCCTGTAGGGGGTTGCTTTCCTTCACTGAAAGTAAGAGTCTGCAGGTTTCTGTCATACCTTAAAGGCAAAGACGAGATGTGGGTTAAAGAATGAAAAGGCAAATTAAAAGATTTTAAAATTCTAAATAAATTCAGGAACTTGGGGGTTGTTTCATGTTGTGGTTCTGCTTTTATTTCCTTTTTTTTCAGCAGTCATACTGCTACAGTGCAGCTGTGCAACAGTGAGAACTGACTGGTCCTTCAGTTACTGGTTCTGGGCCTTTTTTGGGGGGGGGGGATGGGGGTGTTTGGGTTTGGTTTTTTGCTGTTGTTTGGTTTGGTTTTTTTTTTTAACCTGTAGTGTCTCCAGCTGCTTTCATTCATTTTCAGAAGGATCTCTTGTCAAAACCCTGCGTCCAAAATACCGCGTGGGCTGCCCTGCCTCAGCCTTGCGGAGGCTTCGCCGGGCTTTGTTCGGGGTGTCCTGACGTGGTCGGGGGGGCCGGGCGAGGGCGAGCGCCAGGCCGGGGGTCGCTGCCTTGCTGGGGCGGGCATCCCTGCGAAGGAGGGACCAGACCTTCCTCTCCTGGCTCCCCGAGTGGAGCCGGAGGTACCCAGGTTGGGATGTGGAGGCAGGAGGTGCCTGTCGGCCTCTCAGGTTTAAAAGCTGGTTCTTGGTGGACTGCTGGAATGATAAGCTACTGACCAGGACTGACTCAGACTGACTGGGCGTGCTGTTTTCAGAAATTTCCCTCGAGTACCAACTCGGTGTAACCTTTGAGGGAACAAGAAACAGGATCTGAATTTTATGCTACAGTTTTGCTGTTGTTTGGTTTGGTTTTTTTTTTAACCTGTAGTGTCTCCAGCTGCTTTCATTCATTTTCAGAAGGATCTCTTGTCATTGGTGTTGCCTTGCTGTCCTTTCTGCTGGGTGCACATTAAAAAAGCACAGCCTGTGCCTCAGGGAAGGTTTGTTAAGGACTAGCACTGAGCCAGTGTGAGGAGGGTGGCAGTTTCCAGTATCACTTTGAGATGTGGTGTTTCTTTTCTGTATTCCCAAGACAAGCTTCCGGTAACGACGTCCACAGCAAACAGCACAGTATTTGAACTGATGTTTTCCTCTTTCTTCCCTTCACTTCTAGAGTGGCAAAAACACCAGGGAACCTCAGGATGTCTGTCATTCAACAGGGGACGGCCACGCTTCGCAAAGCAAAGAAAGTCGTTGTCAAAACATGTCTGGACAACCCCTTTGTTTTTCAGTGGAAAACCATAGAAGGAGAAGATATGCATTTTATACTACAGACTTTAGAAGAAAGGATTAAACATGTTGGAATTAAAAAGATTGAGACTCAAAGAAAGAAGAAACGTTCCCTCTCAAAAAAGCAAACGGGAAGCGCGTGTGATGCTAGCGCCGATGAACTCCCTCGGGAAGCGGGGACAGAAGGCCAGCAACAGAAACCAGGATGGACTGACATCAGTATCCGCAGACAGCTTGCTATTGGGGTGAACGAAGTCACAAAAGCATTGGAAAAAAACGAACTACTTCTCCTGCTGGTGTGCAAGTCTGCAAAACCTGCCATGATCACATCGCATCTCATCCAGCTGAGCGCAAGTCGAGCCACGCCGGCCGGGCAGGTTCCCCGCCTCAGCCAGACGGTCGCCCCGCTTCTTGGCTTAACCTCCATCTTAGCACTAGGCTTTAAAAAGCAGTCTGATAAATTTACCGAAGCAATAGAAGCAATCATTCCAAAGATACCAGCTTTGGAAGTGCCGTGGTTTCAGTACAGAGCTGAAGAATCTTATGCGCAAACAGATTGTTCAGAAAATCAGGAGCTGGAGCAGCTGGGGGATGAGCTCACAAGCCAGAAGCGGAAGCGTGTGGAAAGCAATCAGCTCAGTCTCTCAGATGTAATGTTGCAGCCTTTGAAAATCAAGAAAATTGTTCCAAATCCAGATAAGATAAAGAAACCCCCTCGTAAAAAGAAAAAAGCTTTTTCAGCCTAACTGAATTTTGCTTGGTTCTTCATAAAAAACTGTTTTAATGCAGTATGGAGTGCAGCTCCAACTGAACTATTTGGTAGACTTTACAGGGTAAAGAACTTGTATTCAAGGTGAATTCCATGTTGCATTCAGTTGAGATACTTTCTGCTTTAATAAAGAATATTGCTCAAATCTGGGTATGAATCTTTCATGGGAGTAAACACTTCATTTGCAGTTGAAGAGCAAAAGGTTAAAATTGGTAATAAATATGCTGAAGTATTGTAAGAAATGATAAGTACATCTTTCGAATTAATAAAATGCATTAAACAAACTTTGTATTTTTATACAGATGAACATGCTTCAAGCAAAACAGATTTAAGCATAGTTATCCAAACAAATCAATACCAAAAGTGAGAGTTTATTTAAACAAAGGTCCATGCCAGTATAACTCTTTTTAAAGCTGGTTCAATGCTTGTTTCAAGTAAACAGTTGCAACAGCACAGGCAGGCTTTCCTTTTAAATTTCATAGCTTGCTCTGCTGAACAAGAAACTTGTTTTGGTCAAGAATATATGCAGACTTGAGTTCCATCCAATACCTGGTGTGAAGGCAAAACTTTATTTTCAAATACAGAACAAACCACATTACTGCTGCATTTTGAGAAAAAAAGCTTCCTGTATGCAAACTATTGACACACATTCTATGAGAAAATGCAAACTAACCTAAACTCTTACTTGATTTTGAATTGAGTTTGAAGTTGTTTCCCAGGAAATTGAGGTAAACTGTCTACTGTTGTATGTAAAGTAGATTACATCTATAACTACTACAAGGCTGAAAATCTGCCACGTAACTTGATTTTCCTTTAGTTTTACTGAGAAGGGTGAACGGTTTCCTACAGAAACAATTGTGTTGTTAGACAGAAAGGGAGTAGTGCTGCAGTCCAGACAATCAAAATCAACAGCCTAGGAATTTACTTGGTGCTCTGTATTTTAAGCAAAAGTCGGTGTGGTACTCTAGAAGAAAAGATAAAATAGCTGAGTTACTTTGTTGTTCCTTAAAGATGAAACTTCCATGTTGTAGTTTTGAGAAATTGGCTAATCCAGACTTCCAGTGCCGTCAGGTATCTAATCTGTATTTTGGATTTACTTAGAAGTTCATGATACCAATCCAACTACAAAGGGAGATGGTAACAGTGATTCTGTTGTCACCATGCTCCCTGAAGTTTAAACTAAGACATTTAATGCCAAAATTTTTTGCCCTCACTGGCTGAGGATGGCAAGGTGAGGGTTTTTTGCCTTGCTTCGTGTCCTTCATACATGTCCTTTGTTTTGGCTTTTTGGATGCGTAACACTTTGAAGGCATGCTAGCACTAGTGTATTTAATTCCCATGCTGTCTAACTGTAACATTTAAATCTTAGCCTTTAAACAAAGCATGAGGATTAGCTTTGGTAAAGAACACAAGTGCAGCAATTGTCTTTCAAGCACTTTGCTACCTGCTCATGTCTTGCGATGGGGATTTGTGTCCTACAAACAGGAAGGTAAGCTGGGAAAAATAACAGCCATTTCAAAAGGCTGGGGAAAGGTAGTGAAATAAGCCTGAAGTTTGCCAATCTTTCTGAAACCATCTATTAGGTTTTGAGGAGCCCTGCCTGGTAGCTGTAGCAAGCCTAACACACAGCCAGATTCAGCTTTGGAAACAACTGTAGAATCTCCTACTGAGCTGCTGCCAGCAGCACCCACACGGGTAATAACCTTTTGTTAAGTACCTGCTTGGAAAGCGAAAGTGAGTTGCCACAATCTCCGCCTCCTGAGTTAACTGTCCTGTTACATGGGTGCAGGCTGGGACACCTTCGGGATTCATAGCCTCTTGACGCTGTGACACTCCAGTGAAGCACTTGAGGTGAAGAACATGGCTAGTCAAAAGGTCTGAGCACGTGGGAGGGACAGAACAGACACAGCCATGAAGTAACACAGGTTTATGAACAACTCTCCAGGAACTGCCCCAACATGCAGGCTCAGGTGCCGGCTTCCCTCACACTCTGGCCTGCTCTAAGTTTTCTCTCTCAGCTACAGCACTGCACAGCTTCTACAGGAGCGTGGCTCTGCCCTCTTTCCCCTCAATTAACATGCAGTGTGAGCCAGAAAACAAGGCAGAGAAGGTCAGCCCTCAGAAGCAAATGGCAGTTTTCCCAGAAGACAGAACAAGAGTGGCCACGCATTCCTAAATGTGCAATCACCCCAATATCAGAGCAGAAAACCAGGCTGCAGAAAACCCAATCTTCTACATGGACCTACTTTGTCCCATTGTGGCCTCAATCCTTTTCCAAACAACAGTACTGGGAAGGATTCACCACCTTATTTCAGAGAAAATTAGAAGAAAACAACTGCCTACTATTTTTCCACTTGCATTTTTTTGAGGGGAGGGGTGGCAGAGAACACAAGCATATCTTTCACCTGTCTTGGCATTCAAGACCACCCATCTGGATTAGGGAGAGCTGGGCCATGATAATTACTTAGCAAGGAGGTGCCTTAGCCATGAGGACAGAGCTATACCTCACTGTCCCACCTCACATTAGGCAGCAGCTGAGCAAGGATTGCCAAGGCTCTGCCTTTAGAACCAAAGCAGAACACGCAGAGCCCCATGGCAAACCTTTTCCTCATACCAGCCAGAGGCTCCAATGCAAAGCCCAGTGAGAAAGGTGCCTTCCTGCCTTTTAGAACTTAAAAGCCTAAGTCTTTGATGGAGTTGAGATTAAATCCCTCTTGTTATTTCAGATATCACTACCACTGATTACATTTTCAGGCACTTAATTCTGCTCAGGCCTCATGCAGGGAGTCCAAGCTCCTTCTGCACCCTCTGTCATAACAGGTATCAGAGTGGGCAAGGCTGTAAAGCTCAACTGCACTGTTAGATGTCTGAAAGATCTCCTTTGAAGCCCTTTTAAATTCATGAGGTCCTGAGCTGGTCAGACAAACCACATTCAATCCCTTCATTTGTTTGAAGGGGGTCAAAATGCTTTAATCACAGAGCTATGCAGTAAGTGAAAGTATTTATCACCATCTCTAGGGCAGAATCCTCCTACCACAAATCAACAAGAAAAAGAAAACAAACCACAAACCATTCACACATTGGAAAAGTAGCAGCAAGAAAGAAAAAACTCACTGCTATAAGGAGGTGGATAGGGATAGTAGTTATGAAGAAGAGACAAATGTATCTTCATCTGAATTAATGTTTTCAGGTACAGAGTTCAACTTTCAGCAAAACCTGCTGTCAGAATTACAGGCATGTTTAAAAGGAAAGTTCAGACATTTGCATTTCATAAGATATTCAAGTCACATTCAAAAGATGCTCACAGCACAGAGGCTTCACTACCACAATTTGGCACTTTCAGCTAGAACAGTTTCCTGATGCAGGTTTTCTTGGTGCTCACATTACTACAGCATCCATGAGCTGAAAGAACTGCTATTGTATCTCGCTAGGATGCTACGCTGGAACACATATAAAGTGCTTCAGAAGCCATTCTGGTTGCTGAGCATTCATGATGGAATTAAAACAGCTCCCCCTGACAACAAAGGTCAGCCCTTCTACATTTCAGGAAGCACAGTACAGAGACTTCCAAGGACTGAGGGTTGACCATTTCTCTTCTGCTTACCAGCCACATAAATAGCAAAACTTCTTGTTCCAAGTCAGGATAAAAACACTACCAGGAACAATTTATAACTACGTATTTACACAAGATACTTTTCATTGGAATTACAGACTTCATAGGAAATCAAAGTAGACAAAGAAATATGTGCAATTTTGCAGAAGCGTTGAAAACATTCAAACTATAAATATCCTGATAGCACTACTAAAATTCTTAGTTTTACACACAGGCTGATGTTATTCTACTGAGGAAAAACTAAGGTTTTGTGCCACAACTGTAAAGTAAGTACAGTAATGTATTATCATTCCAGCAAATAGGTAACACCTGCACTGAACAGTGCGATACTGTTAAATCAATCCACTGATCTATTGAAGATCAAAGTATAAATCTGTATTTTTATTGATTTGGCAGCTTTGTGTATGGAGAAAAAAAAATGTACTAGTTAAACCAGTACATTGTCATACTGCTCCAGTTACAAAAACACCCAGGACTTTCATAGAGCTACAAACGTATCATACTTCATGGTTTTCCCCCAAATGATGATATCCACGTGAAGTAAATAGGCAAAGATACTCAAGTTTGTATCCTTCATTCTCTTACACTGACAAACATACAACACCACTTAATAAATAGAAATGCAGCAGTTCTTCCACATAATAGCAAATATTTTTGTACCCTAATCCACCACTTAAGTTCAGTTTGTACAAAACAGTCTTTTCTAAAGAGTGGAAAAAAAATACCTTCTTCTCATCAAGGTGCAAGCTAAGCTTTGAAACTTAAATGAATGTGCTTTTATTCTTTTCATGACAATAAAAGAGTTTCATGGACCTCCTGATCTATCTGAAAATGCATAAATTTGGTCGCATATGGATGTCTTCATTTTTCAGGTTTAACGGACTATTTCGGTATCACCAAAGTTGTGCTTTTACTCCTCTTGAACCAGACTGGAGACCAAATTAACTGAAACCATGACCTCAGAGTTCTAGAAACATAAGCGTCCTCATTGTAATACAAGACCAACCTAAAGGAAGAAGAAAAAGATAGTCTTTTAGATTAAGTATGGCAATAAATCTAAACATAGTTTTCTGTACCTCAGTTACGGATCTTAAATATGACTAATTTAAAAACATATTTTAAATCTTTTTACCATTTTGGCCAGTGTACATTAATGTACCATTATACCTAACAGAATTCAGAAGCTCTCTTTTTTCTCCCTTACCTTTTCAGATTCCATGCCAGGACACCTCCAATTGTACAAATAATACTGCAAATTTCCATCTCCAATCCCAAACTTGAGTTTTTCCAGGAATGTTTTGTTCTCCATTAAATCTAGTGCATTGAACACATCAAATCCTTTCTGGCAATAGCAAAAAAAAAAAAAAAAAGTATTTAAATTTTACTTTTTAAACTTTCAGATGATGCACACATGATACTTTACACAGCGGTATACAAAATCCAAGAGACTAGGCTAATGTAGTGTATGAAAAAGATGGTAAGAAATCTTGCTTTTTAATTAGATACACGCACAAAGAAATTTTCCCAATAAAAAGTGAAGTATAAGGCACAACTGTGCTTGAAGATTATCTCCAAAAGTGTAGGGATTTCAAAGCTGCTTTCAGGGGTAAAGGTCTGAAGAATCCCTAAAGCATTATCCATTATTTTAGCTGTACAGGTATGCATTTTTTTACAGTCACAGACAGTGCTTTGGCACACACAGCCTAAAGCTGCATAAATCCAGCTTACAGTATTTTTCAGCCGTTTACCATTCTGTTAATGATAAATACATTTCTGCAATTTGGTCCTCTTTTGAAATCCCATTGTCTTTAGAACTCCCATCTTTCACACATTACTCCTCCTCCCCTACTAACACACCCTCATAACCAACTCCTTTTTCCATGAGCCTCCTGGATTCACCACTAAAAGAGCCATTTTGCTCTCGGAACAGCCCCATAGCTGAATTAGTCTCTGGGTTTTGTGCAGCAACATAACATACCAAAATCCCAACTCAGGTGTACTCTTAACAAGCAGCACAAAAGTAACATCAGTTTAGCCACCACAGTGATAATCGTCATGAGTGAAAAGCTGAATTTTCTTGGGAGTCTGGATATAAAAGTCCATTTATTTGCAATTAACTGCAAGGGAATCTGACCTAAGATCCTGGAGTCTTAACAGCACAAAGAAAGTGTGCCAGCAGGTCTTTCTATAACCTAAGATAAAAAGAAGTTACAAAGCAATAATGCTCAGTTACTTAAGCACAAGAAGATGGTAAGGAACATTCTTTACTTAGTAAAAAAACTAGGTGTTATAAAAAAAAGGAGGTTGAAGGAAAAGAGCATTTTAAGCTCTCCATCAGTTTAGGACTATTTAAAAGAAAGTCACAAAGCACAGACTGAGTTAGTAAGGTTCTGCACTGCCTTACATACAGATCATTCTGTGTGCAGGTGAAGCCATACTAAGTTAAACGTGCTGTGAAAAACACAGAAACAAGATGAATGAGGTGGCAAGGATTTGTGACTTGGCATCTAAAGAAGTAAATTTTGAAATATTCCAACAACAGACCGTGAAAGAAATTTCAGGAGGCATAAAGAGGGGGGGAAATAGAGACACACTGTAGGTACAGACACACTAATGAAGCTCTGCAATTAAGCACTCAATATTCAAATAAATTATAAAGTCTAGGGATGTAGTTTTTATTGAATATCTGAACATCAACAGATTAGGTTCAGGTAAATGTCTTCTGACAGGTAAAAAACGTTTCTGTTCAAAGATACTTGCTCCATAGCTCAGCCATTTTGTCCTATTAATTGCCACAATTTTACTGCAATTAGTTCTAAACTAACTTTACATAGTGTAACATGAAGACAAAAATCAACATTAAACTGACACGCAAACCCTGAAAACAATTTGCTGACTTGAATTGTACCTCCAAAATACATTCCTTTGAAGTACAAACAGGACTGTGGTGGGATGTGCCCAGCCAAGGGCCAAACACCCACATAGCCTTTTGCTCTCCCAGGGGATGGGGAGAAAATAGAAGGCAAGACGACTTGTGAATCAAAATGAAATTACAGTTTAATAGCAAAAGCTGCACACACAAGCAAAGCAAAAAGAGGAATTAATTCACTACTTCCCATCAGCAGAGGTGTCCAGCCACTTCCTGGAAAACAAGGTCTCAGCATGCATAATGGTTGTTTGGGAAGATAAATGCTGTAACCAGGAGCATCTTCCCTTCCTCCTTCTTTCCTTCAGCCTTTATTGCAGAGCACAACATCATATGGTGTGGAAAATCCCTCTGGTCAGTTGGGATCTGCTGTCCTGGCTGTGTCCCCTCCCAACTTCTTGCCCATCCTCAGCCTACTCACTGGGGGTGAAAGGGATAAAGCCTTGAGATTGTGCCAGCACTTTTCAGCAGTAGCCAAAACAGGCTGTTACCAGCCCTGTTTCAGTCACAAATACAAACTGCAGCACTACATGGGCTGCTAGGAAGGAAATTAACTCCATCCCAGCCAGACCAAATACATTTGGAAACACAAAGCTGTGAATAGGACTACATTTATAATTTATCTTCCCTTGCCTCACCTTTCCTCCAAGAGACAGATTTGCAAATGTAATTAGGCATCTAATGATGCAGACAGGCCAAGCAGGTACTCTAGGAATCCAGAGGTGTTGAAATGCCAGTGTTCTAACTATATGATGACCCATTTGAAACAAAAGAATTGCATGTCACATTGAGAGAAACACGGACAGGGGAAGGTACAAAGCCTTGCAGTTAGACCATGTGACTGCTTCCTTACCTGTTCCATCCATGGCCTAGTAAATAGCCAGCCACTCAGCTCCCTACACCCTGCTTCAAATGGAAGCCAACTTTTATACCTTTTTTTCACTGTGACTTATAAGAATAAGTAATATTAGTCTTTTTAGGCACTTCTGAAATCTATACTAGCCATCTTCCCGTGTCTTCACATATCTTAATACCTTTCGAAGTCTGCCTTTGAATGTCCTTTGGTTATTATTCTGGAGTCTGAATAATGGGGCTTTATGTTTCCAGTGACTATCCAGGAGTTTTCCTTTCAAACTTCTTACTCAGCTCAACACCACTTATAGCTCAACAAGGCTCAGCAAGCAGCTCACACCACAGGCACAGGCTCAGCTGCCGTGCTGCACAAACATGGCCGAGACCGACAAGTTGAAGACTGTGCAGCTGCTTTCACACAGCCTGAAGTCTGAACAGACAGAGCCTTTGAAGACCATCACTGGCTTCACTCAGGATCAACATGGAAACCTCTACGCCACGTGCAGTGCAGATGGCTCTGAACAAGGCCAGCTGGAGCACATCCAGCCTTCTCTTGCATTGAACACTCATCTAGTAGGTGTAATACCACAAGCAGCTGGGAGGGGCAAGCCTCAAGCATGAGGACAGAAAACAAGCCTGGGCTTTGCAGCGTGTTGGGAACAGCTGCTTGAGTAGATACCATGGACTGGATGAAGCCTGTGCAGAGCTGTGAAGTGCCAGGACTAAACAGGTCTCTGAGAATTCGTGCAGAGTGCTGGGATGTGCATCACCTGCACAGCTCTGTACCACAGACTATGCTGCCATTGGTGTTTGCACTGCACTCTCCTGAGACCCTGATGATTAAGGGCCGAGTGCTAATTTTTCATCAACCATCACTAAACTTTTACAATTCTTATGTTTAAAAACTTCTTTATAGTTCCTTCCTTCCATTCAACTAAACCATCTATCAATGTAACTCCATGCATGAAGGTGTGCTTAAAAGCTACAGCAGGACATCATCTAGAGAGCTCTAAAAGCAGCAGTTAGTAACAAGATAAAATCATTAAGCTTGCACAAATTAATTTTTAAATTTTTTAGAAATAAAAAATAGTCTAAACAAACAAACAACATTTATTTAATAGAACTTATTAACTCATTTCCAACGGAAAATACTTCCGTGATACTTTCCATTCTTCTGATACTTAGCGAATATGGTCATCAGTATGCTCTTGGGTGTTTACACAGTTCAGGCTATTGAAAACACTTGATCTTCATGCACTTGTCATACCCCAGCACCACTCAAAGTAAAAAAGGAAAAACAAGCACTGTGTTTCCTGTTTGAATATATATAGTACATGTCTCATCAACTGCACTCTGTGCTGTAGATAGTAAAAGAAAACTGAATGCAATGACATGGATTAATTGCTTCCAGTTCTTACCTTGCCATCACTCCTAAGACCACTTTTGTGAAAGGAGAAAAAAAACCAACAACCCACAACTTACCAATTTAGCTATAATGAGTGCATCATTCATTAAATCCAAGAGGGGGGTCTCTGTATGAATATTGTAAAAGGAATAGGCAGCTTTGAGGCTTTTATGAACAGGATGGTGCATCACTGTTGAAGGTAATGTGTAGAAACTCAGGAAGTCTGTTAAAATACCATTTGAGCCCTATAAAATAAAATAAAGTCAATTAATAAGAAGTAATCACTCAGTTACTGGTTAGGCAAACGTGGCTGTTCTACAGAAAGTAAGTAATAAACGCAGCACAGTTTTGCACACCATATTATGGTATAAGAGGTAATCTTGGCTAAGATTTGAAGAAACTGAATTCCTGCCAAGGATTTATCTATACACCAAAGCAAGACTGAAGCCTGAAATGGTCACTTCAGAAAAGGAAACAAACATCTAGGTTTTTCTAGTCTGTTTCACTAATAACATTTTGACAAGCAATTGCCAAAGCATTTCAGTTTGTTTCCTCGGCCTAGCCTGCTATAAACAAAGCTCTAGTGATTATTAATCAAGCACAATCCACTTGCTAGACAACAGTGCTAAATCACATTGAAATTCTAGTAAGACTGGTAGTCATCAGATGGTACTTAGACAGAAAGCTAAAGTATCCTACATCAACTTTCTTATTATTTCACGTACCTAATGAAGTTTAACCATCTTCAAGAGTATAGATTAGTTAGAAAAAGGAAATCATTATTACATGGGTTATGACTGACATGCTGAGCCCAAAAAATTTACCCAGATTTTCACTCCTATTCTAACTGGGTCTCTTGATATTTCCAAGAAGATAAGGCAAAGGAGACACACAAATGCTTGTTTGCTTTATTTTCTGAATGACTGGTGCCCACTATTTGAGCTCAGTGAAGGACTCCACATGGATCCTTAAACTGATAGTACTTCCACAGTGGAAAGTAAAAGAGTTGAACACATCACATGCAAAAAAGCTAATGTCTTAGAGCAAGTATAGATTCTGTAGTGGAGATAAACTAACAACAAACAACAGAAAAATTATTAAGCCACTCACTAAATTCAGTAAGAATGATGAAAATATTAATTAAGGAATTATACAACATATTTTAAGATTTTAGCTCTGCATGTTACAAAGATAATTTTAAAATCGGGTACTAGCTTCTCTGGGCCACACATGTCTTAAAAAGATTTTTAGCACCAACAAACCCACACCTTGTATTGAAAAACTAGCTCAAGAGACAGTCTTAAACAAGCAAGCAAAGACTGCACCACTCAGTTCAAAAGGTATTGCCAAGGGCACACTCATGCTGATCTGGTGCTTGTGGACTTTTGTGTAGGCTTGAACTCACTAACAAAGCCAAAACTGACCTAGGGAGCATGGCCCAGAGACTGGGGAACAATGTGGAGTGGAGAAAAAAGGAGGAACAATACATTAAATTAGACCACGGAGAAGCCCAGTGAGCAAGTAAGTACTAAACCCACTACCGAGCAGAGATAATGCTAAGAATGGACAACTCAGTAAGTTTCTAAATTCAGCTGAGACTCCTGCATAGATTCAGGTTTCAGTGTGGGAACACTGAGCTTCACCAGCTGCAGCTTCTGTGAGGATTTGGCAGGTTTAAGGATGTTAGTGCTGCCTTTTTTGAAATAAAAATATCACTATAAACAAAGTAATACACTATCTACTTACAGTGTCTGCAATTGACTTAGCATGGACTCAAAGGGAAGAGTGTGTTTTTCTCAACTAGCATTATGGTAGCTATTCCAACCATGCTGTGGAAATTTCCAATCCAAATGCTAGACTACTCCTTCCTGCACTGCTTATTTTGCAAGAAGTATGGCAACCAGCAGGTTGTAGCGTGGGAGTGGGAAGAGAAGAGTAGGTGGTAGGAATAGATGATGCTGTCCATCTTGTTAGTGGACAGAGATCATCATTTTCAAGATAACTGAACTCCTGTCTGACAGCAACACACATAACAGCACCAAGTCTTGTTTACTTTTACACTTCTATTTTACATACACTCATGCATATACATGTGTATATACACATATATACAAATTTGTACACATATATACACACACTCTTATGCTGGAAAAAGCATACATATTACTGAAACAGACTACAGAAAAACCTAATTCCCTCAGAAGATGCCTCTAGCACTGGTTTTAAAAATAAAGAATTTTGAAATGGTGCATAGCAGAAACTTCAGACACCTGGGAGAATTATACTGTATTAAAACAAATCCTTATCTCAGTCATTGTCTAATTTTTTTCTTTTTTCTAGAAAAATGTGAAAACTATTGCTTATTATCATGTCATATCTCTATGGGGACAAAGAAAAAGGAGGAAAGCAGGTGTTTTTTTGCTGTAGTACTTCTAAGCTAGTGATATTTTGAGATTTCAAAATTCGTCTTCAAAAAACCCTGTTGTAAGAGCACTGCAGTTTATCACAACCAAACATTTTCTCATTAACAGAATGAAATACTAAGAGCAAGGCTTGAATCATGCTACAAAATTCTATCTAGCTATAGCACACATTTTTCATACTGTTGGAATTTTAAGAACTTGATGCTGATATCAACTTTTATGAGTGGCATTAACATTTACATTCATTAAGTAATTAGGGTATGTTTTACCTCTACTACGTAAGTGTCAATAATATGATCCCGAGGCAGGAACCAGTGGGCTACCTCTGCTTCATCCATCACAGGAGCAAGATTAAACTGTTTCAAGTAAGTGTTGATTAATTCTTGTACTGCTTTAGTATCTTTTTGTTCCATTGGTCTCAAACCTGAAGTCTTTGTGGCCTTAATATAACAAAAGAAAAATAAATATTAAGATATTGTAAGGAAAACTGCATACACAGCAAAGGCTGAATGTAGGTTGTAGAGCCACTCCACTTGCTATAATGCATTCATTATTAGCCTACTTTATCCCAGCCACCTAATTCATTATGATACTTTACAAACGTCTTTCAATCAGAATTCCCTCTTTTCTAATTATTGAGACAGTCTGGAGCACTTCAATCTTTATATTTCATTATTGAAACAACTTCAAAGAGATACCAGTGCCAACAGCTTAGACTTCACACATTTTATATTTTGGGGTTTTTTAGGTCAATCTTTATTTCTCATCTTTTTCTAAACTACCTAGGGCCCAGACACAGAAACAAGACATGAAAATCACAGTTAAGCTATAAACCAAAGTCAACAGATAAAGTTTAATCACAAATTATTTAACAAAAAAAAATTAATCCACCTATTCTTCACATGTACAAATTCCCTTGCTAACTCAGCTTGCTATACAGGCACAACTGCCTCTCAAAAGTTATAGCTGCCTGAAATTAAAAACCTACAGTATTTAACAAATAAAGTTATTTATTTGACTTTAAACATCAGAAGAGGAAAAAAATGCTTTCCAGTACTACGCAATTAATGTTTAAACAAGCAAAGTTGATTCAAGTTTTTTCCCTAGCTTTTGTTAGCTTTCCTAAATATTTCCTTTTTGGGAGGCTAAGGCTTGTTCTTTTCAGAGCTCATTCATCCTGCTTCATCTGTCTGAGCTACATTCTTGGGCACGTATCACATTAATTACAGCAATGTCAATTGCAAGAGCAGCCAGGTAGAGACTTGATTACTGAAAGCCTGAAATTAGTGTAGCTGATTATGGCCTGCTCAAAAGGCATTATTCTGGGGGTGGTTATTTATTGACATACTCTGGGAATGAGCAGCCAGATAAAACAGTCAAGGCATGTTTTGCCACAGCTCTGGCCTATGTAGTACATTTTAGTCTTCCTGCTTTCCTGAGCAGCCTGGGACCATGGTTTGCCTCCACAACAGCAAATCATCTAGATTTTTAAATGCCCTGAATCCATAAGGGTGTTCACCTGACTCTTGTCCTTATTCTCTACAAAGCCAAAATTTACCTCTTCCAGAAAACTTCTTGCTCGTACATTTTAGTCTTCCTGCTTTCCTGAGCAGCCTGGGACCATGGTTTGCCTCCACAACAGCAAATCATCTAGATTTTTAAATGCCCTGAATCCATAAGGGTGTTCACCTGACTCTTGTCCTTATTCTCTACAAAGCCAAAATTTACCTCTTCCAGAAAACTTCTTGCTAAGAGACTAAACACTTAGGAAAAAAAAAAAAACAACCAACCCACAATTTTATGTTTTATATCTATAGGCACATGCACAAACACAGCCTTCAGTGAGGGTGGTATTTATTAATTACAGTATGTATTATTTCTGCAAACCTTTTAAATTCAGACTGTTCAGGTGATTAGGAATGATTAATCCCTCTTAAAGGACAATGAGCTCCCAGTGGCAATGATATTCCAAGGATGCTAAGAGGTTAAAATGCAAGAAACAATGCTTGGTGCTGAGGGACAGGACAGTGTGGCCTGAATGACCACATTTGTGCAACAGATTTTTATGATAACAGACTGAAACTGAGGATAAAGATCATCAACAGCACTTAAACCCTTTCTTAGGAAAACCTCCCCAAAAAACCAACCACCAAACTGCAAAGCACAACACCTAAAGAGAAAATATTAGCACAAAGATTAAATCTTTATTTTCCATGGGAGAAGCCCCCAATTCCAATAAAAAAAACCAAACAGCTGAGGCATATAGACTCCTACATCACTTGGTTTTAAACGTTCATTTTCAAAGCATGTTTTATCTGTTTGCATATCCCTATAGTATCTTTGCCTTAGCTGCCTTTTATGAAGGAGATACAATGTATTTGTTGTTTCCCATAACTTATTTTTCTGTTTAAATCAGGGGTTTATGATATAGGAAGATGATCTACTGCACTTCTTTAGATGATTAAAAACGTCTTCAAGATCTGACGGATCTATATTTAGCTCTACAAGATTAAAACCTAATTAATTTGGTTATTAATTCTTAAGCTCTGCAAACTGCTGCCCCGCACGCAAGGGAGAACCTGTGTGTGCAGGCAGAGGCAGCACCCGGGCAGCGCAGGAAACGAGTCTGACAGCAGCAGGAGCTCAGATTGAGCCATGGCACGTGCTCTGTACTGAGGACAGCTTAGTGTCAGATAGATATCTCAGATATATAAGTCGTAAGAGAACCTGCAGCATCGAGGTAAATATACCCAACAGGCACGACTGTCCAAAGTCAGATAAATCATTACAAAGTCCTACAAAAGTGAGGAAAAAAGTTGTGGTTTTTTTTAACCAAAAGGGAGGGTTTAAGTAAAGAAAGATTTACTGATACAGTACAGGTAAAGGATATTCTGCAATCCCTACAAATAGAAAGGCAGCTTTTAAAAGCAAAGGAGTTATTTTCAATCATAAAGCTTAGACTAGCTTTTATAGGCTATTAATTAGATCAATGAGATTTTTTAATAGAACATCTCAGACTACTTACAGGGATGTACCCTGTCATGGAACTGCACCCTAGGGCTTTTTGCCAGCCTAACTATCAGAGAAAATATTTGAGAAAAAGTATTTTTAACTAACTTATATATGTCAGAACAACACTTTTTTTTTCCTTTTTTTTCTTCTTTTTTTCTGCTAGACCATGCAAAAAACAGTATGCAACATACTGAAGTGGGTTTTGCTGAGCCAGAACAGAAAAAGCTGTGAATTAGAGTGCAATCAACAATCCTACTGCACTCGACCAACCTTCTGATGGACTTCTCTGAGAATTTTAAGACAAGAACTGTTAATTTTCTGTTCCAGTAATCCTTTACCAGATTAATCATACCAAGAATAGTTTTACACATCTTTAACTCAATCCTTCATGTTTAGGAAGTCAGTGTTTTGTTTTTTTCTTTAAGGCTTTTAGGTAAAAAATTACATCCTCTCTATATACAGGCTTATATTTCCAGCAATAGTCCCTCTTGTTTAGTGTAGCCCTTAAGGTCTTTTTCATCAACCAGATTTTTTTTTTTTTTTTTTATGTCCTGCACACACTGCCTTTCCACAGAAAAGCCTGTGCTGCCAGAGACAGATGGAAGGTTATTTTGGGCCTCACAGTAACTGTGGGGATTCTCTAGAAGTAATGCTGCTTACATCAGGAAGTCTGTAGAGCTTCATTGTTCTTTGTAGAGTCATGTTTCTACTCAAATGTGAAAATTTCACCTCCACCAATTTTCTGGGATTCAGTGATCGATGCCAATACCTGAAAATCAAATTAATAATGA